GGCTCCTACACTCCAGAAACTGAAACCACAAATCTGTGTTGTTTTAAATCCATGCTAAGTTTCTGGTAATTTGCCATGAGAAGGCCATATACGTGAAGGGAGTTCATTGACAAAGGGTGGCTTGGCTGCGCCTGACAGCTACATCCCACAGCCAAATCCCAGAACCATGCCAGACCTGAGCCAACGTCCCAACTACGTTGCACCCATCACCACTGCTTAGCCACGATCCAAGTAATAGTTAGGATGGGTTCCCTCTCATTTCCTCCTATGAAATTGCACACTTAAAATCTAGGGAAAATGAACCACAATATAAACCACAGAGGATAGGGAGAACTTACTTTCTGAGCTCATAGCTAGGGTGGCACATTTGGTATTTCTAAAAAGGCTGAGATGGAATCGGCACCAAGGCCAGTGAGGATTCCTACCCTCTGGTGCCAGACTAGTCATTACATGGCCAAATGCAACTTTAGCCTTTAAGATACAAAATTCACAAAGCTGAATAAACACAGAAGCATAATTTTCAGAAGGGCCTCTTGGAAGGAAGAGAGGTAAGAAGGGTGGAAAGAAAGCAAAATGGAAAAAATGTATTCAGTAAACAAATATTTAAGATGCCATATGTGCAGTCCTGTTCTAGGTCCCAGAAATACAACACTAAATAAAACAAACAAAATCTCATTACTCCAGCGGGAGAATGTAGACAATAAAACACATTTTTAAAAAATAAATAGTATGTGGTGATAGCAAAATAAGGGAGGAGTTGGAAGGATTCAACTTTAAATAAAAGGATCAGAGAAGAAATACATTGGAAGGTGATATCTGGATACAAATTTGAAGTTACTGAAGACTGAACTACATGGAGATCTGAGGAAATCATGTTCCAGGCAGAAGAAGGTATGTGCAAAGGTCCTGAGGCAGGAGTGGGCCTGGCCTTTCTGAGGAATAGTAAGCCAACTAGTTTGGCTGGAAGGAAGTGGGGAAGGAAGAAAGGAGAAAATTATGGGTCCAGAGAGTTTAAGGGCCTATGTGTCACTTTGACTTTTACTTTAGTCCCTTGGGAGCCATTGAAGGCTCTGAACATAGAAATGACATAATCAGTCTTAGGTTTTCAAAGGATTTCTCTGGCAGATGTGTTGAGAATAGGTCAAAGAAGGGCAAAGGTGGAAACAGAGAGATGGGTTAGGAAGCCTTTGCAGTGGTCCCAGTGAGAAATGAGATTTGCTCAGAACAGGGTGAAGAAGGTGGAGAGAAGTGCTCAGATTTCAAGATGTGAGAAAACGCAGGCCAGAATAATGCCAAGGTTTTTAGCCTGAGCAATTAGATGTTATAATTGCCATTTGCTACTAGGGAGAAGACTGAAGGAGCCGGTCTGAAGAGGAATACTGAGAGTGAGATTGGGCTTTACTACGTTTGAGAACCTATTAGACAGCCAGTGGTGCTATCAAGTAGGCAGGTGAATAATTAGTATTTAGAGTAAAATTAGGGCTGGAGACATAAATTTTGTATCCAAAACATGATACTGGATGGGATTTTTAAAGATGGGAGTGAATGTAAATGGAGAAGAAGTCCAAGGATAAACCTTGGGGCACTCCGAGATTAAGGTATCAGAGCAAAGCGAAAGAACCAGCAAAAGAAGCTGAGAAGGAACAGTCAGTGAAGATGGAGAAACACCAGGAGAACGAGATGTCCTGGAAGCCGCAGAAAGAAACTGTTCCAAGGATGAGAAAATGGTCAGTTGAGCTGAGGCTGAGAAATGACCTTGGATTTAACAATATGTCATTGGGGACACTGACAAGCATAGTTTCAGTGGAGTGATGGGGATAAAAGCCTGATTTAGTAGATTCAAGAGAGATTAGGAAGAGAGGAGGTAACGGGTTCTCTTTTAAAGAACTCTGCAATGAAGGGAAGCAGAGAAATGGGGCAGAGCTGGAGAGGAATATGGTGGGAGAAGTTACATGTTTTGTCATTCCCATCAACGTACATGTGTCTATCTTGATGGGAATGATCTAGTAGAAAAGGGGAAATGAAACGATGATGAGAAAGGAACCAGACAGTTTTGAATTGCACAAAAAAACAGAAGGGAACAGTAGGACCTATTTGATGGATTTACTTGAAAAGATCCTTATGTAATATTTAAAACAGATATTTAAAAGTCCATGCAAGTTTTGCAACATAATGAGCACCCATGAATCCCCCCACCCCAAAACCCCCAGAGCTAAACCACCACCAGTCACATCTATGTGCTCCTCCCTCGCCTACTCCTTGCCTCTTTCTTAGGAGAAAGCAACTTTCCTGAGTTTTATTGGCATTTCCTTGTAAAGTAATATTCTCTTCACTATATCCCATTATATTTATTGACTGATAGATTAAGGACAATCTCACCTCTGCCTCACAACCAGGCTTTCTAGAGATAGACATCAAACCACCTCCGTCAGACAGTATTATGAAATTCCTCTCTCCCATTTAACCTGCCACACTAAAATTCTATTTTTTCATCTTCAATTTCAGCTGCTACTGCTTTGCCTGAAAAATCCCTTCATCTGCACAAAAATTAGTATTCATTCCTATCTGTATTGTTTACTTTGCATGAAATCAGGAAGAGACAAACACACCTTCTTCCCACGTGCAGACACAGAACAGACCCCAGTGGCCAGAGCATTCTTGTTATGCTGGAAGATGCACCTACACCTGGCAGCCTGCAAACCTCCAGCTAACCCTCCTATCCTAAGGCTCATCCTGTTGGTCTGGTGTCAGTACACCTGGTGATCCCTCCACAAAGGCCTCAGGGAGGCAGAAAATGGCCAGGGATTCAATTTCTTTCACCCCAGACCTTGCCTGTGGGCAAGTGGTCATCCCCAGATCATCCAGGAATCTGCAGGTGTACAAGGACCTGCAGGATTTTAACAAATGCCAGCACAGTGGGCCCTTTATAAATAGATGACAGCAGGCTATAAAAAGTCCTCTGCATACATAAACCAAAAGTCCAGTTCCCCAACTTGCTCACTGATGCTTGAAATTGCTTTAAGGAGAGACAATGGCTTTCATCTCACAACTAGAGAAACCTTTGAAGGCTTTGGGTGAGCTAACTCATCGATTTAGCCTAATACATGCTACTGTATAAATAGACTGAAGGATCAGATGATACAATGGGCACCTTCAAAATGGGTATGAAGCGACAAGGGGTGCAGCAAAGAAAGGTGAAGCTTTTCTTGCCTCCTTTGGTGCCTAAAAAAGAACAATCTTGAAATCAGAACACCTGAAGTCAAATTTGGCCCTACTGCCAGCTGTTTGACCACAGGCCAGTTACTCAGTCTTCAGCCTGTTTCTAATTTCTGAAACCAAGATAAGCTGTACCTTTTGTGTTACTGTGAAACTTTGGTGCCATTATATTAGTTGTTTTATTGTTTGTTTTTTTGAGACAAAGTCTCACTTTGTCACCCTCGGTAGAGTGTTATGGTGTCACAGTTCACAGCAACCTCCAGCTCTTGGGCTTAAGTGACTCTCTTCTTGCCTCAGCCTCCCGAGTAGCTGGGACTACAGGTGCCCACCGTAACACCTGGCTATTTTTTGTTGCAGTTTGGCAGGGGCCGGGTTTGAATCTGCCACCCTCGGTATATGGGGGCGGCGCCCTACTCACTGAGCCATGGGCGTTGCCCTGATGCCATTATATTAGTAAAAGTGCCCAAGCACAGGGGGACTATTTTGTATCTTTTCCTGTTGTCTCGAGACATCTCTTGCTGTGTTCTACTCCAGTTTCATCCTCGTTTCTTTTCTTTCTTTCTTTCTTTTTGTTTTTAGACGGAGCCTCAAGCTATCCCCCTGGGTAGAGTGCTATGGCATCACAGCTCACAGCAACCTCTAACTCCTGGGCTCAAGCAAGTCTCCTGCCTCAGCCTCCCAGGTAGCTGGGACTACAGGCGCCCGCCACAACGCCCGGCCATTTTTTGGTTGCAGCCGTCATTGTTGTTTGGCGGGCCCGGGCTGGGGATTCGAACCGCCACCTTAGGTGTATGTGGCTGGCGCCTTAGCCGCTTGAGCCACAGGCGCCGAGCCCGTTTCTTAGCATTATAAAGATTAAGCCTGTACTTTGGTTTCTCTTCAGATGGTATAAATCTTTCGCCTTATACTGGTTAAGCGTAAGGACAGGCTGAGGTTGGAGGACAGCTTGAGCCCAGGAGTTTGAGGTTACAGTGAGCTACAAATATGTCACTGCACTCTAACTGGGTGACAGAGTGTGATCTGTTCTTGATTAAAAAAATAATAAGTGGGGGAATCTGGAATCAAGGCAACCTGGGTTCAAATCCTGAACATCTTGGGCAGGTTGCTTGACCTGTGTTCAATTCCCTCATCTGTAAAATAGAGATAATGATAGCACTTGCTTCATGGCATAAATGTAAGAATAAAATAAGTTCTTGTTTTGTTTTGTTTATAAAGACAGAGTTTCACTTTATCACCCTTGGTAGAGTGCTGTGGCATCACAGCTTACAGCAACCGCCAACTCCTGGGCTTAGGCGATTCTCTTGCCTCAGCCTCCCAAGTAGCTGGGATTACAGGCACCCGCCACAATGCTCGGCTATTTTTTTGTTGCAGTTTGGCCGGGGCCGGGTTTGAACCCGCCACCCTCAGTATATGGAGCCAGTGCCCTACTCACTGAGCCACAGGCGCCTCCCAATAAAATGAGTTCTTATGTGCAACGCGCTTGGAACAATTCCGGGCACGGGAAAAAAAAAAAAAGTAGAAGCAGCAGCAGCACACTGTAAATCCCCGTGTATTCCCCCAGGTTTCCTAAGGCCCTCAGACCTATCTTTAACCCCCCTTGACATCTATTAACTTCTGACCCTTCTGCCACCACCACCACCCCGGCAATGCCCCAGGCAGATTTCAGGAGGCGGGGCAGCTCTGTGACGTGGCGCAGGCCCCACCGCCCAGGGGGCCACGCGGGGCGGGGCAGCTCTATGACGTCGCGCCGGCTGGAGCGGAGGTGGCCAGGCAGCGGAGGCCACGTCGGGGTTGCCAGGTGAAGGCGAAGCTCAAACAAAGCCCGGTCGCCCCACCGCTGCTGCCCCTCCCAGCCGCAGTCGCCTTCCCCTGCTCAGGTGCTGCTGCTCTCCCTCCTACAAAGGTCAAAGGCACTGGACCTCTCCCCACACCCCCAGCCTGAGGCCAGGCGCCAGGTGTCGCCTGAAACCGGATAGCCCGTTTGGGAGTGAATCTGAGGTAGCCACCCGGGAGGGGAGTGGAGGGAGGGGAGCGCCCCTCGCTCCCGGAGGGCTGCGCCGGTCCGAAGGACCAGTCCTGCCCACAGGGCACACCTGGATTCTGAGCCCCTCCTTGTTCACGGAGCAAGGAGAAGGCGCGTGATCTTTAAGAGTATGCGATGGCGGAGGATTATTGCTTTAGCCAGACTTTATATGTATTTTGTACCTAAAACTACCATTATATGATTTCTTACCTAGAGGAGAGTGATTTGGAAACAGAACAGAATCTGAAATCCGAGGCTCCACCCCCATCCTGAGAAGTCAAACCTCTAACTTTTTTATCTGTAACAGGGATATGAAAATACCTTTGGGGGAATTGTCATGAGAGCCAATGTGCAAGACTTGCACTTTATAAACTGCTATCATCCGTTCAATACTACGTTCCAGGCACTGGCTAAGCATTGGTATTCTGCAGTGAGCAAAAACTCACCATTGCTGCCCTGGAGTTCATAGCCTACTGGGTGAGACGCGTGTTAATAAGGGAATCACCCAAATGATGTAAAATTAGGGATGGGTAAGGGATGCTCTGAAAGAGTATGAGGGAACTAACAGGAAGGTTGAGCCGAGCTCTGAAGAATTAACCTGTGGAAAGGAGGAGGACAGTGTACTTAAAGCAAGAGTAATCACATATTTAAAACCCACCACCTCCAGTTCCAGACCCAAAGGAGGATATACAGTTGCCTGGTGCTTGGTTCCAAGAACTGTTCATAGAAATTACCTCTGAGATTCTGGGGTCTGGAGCCTTTCATTTATAGACATGTAACTGAAGTCCTATTTAGTCCACACAGATAAAACCAAATGAGAAGTTCCAGAAACAAGCCTAATGGTCTATATTTGATAAGACCTATATTCTTAAGCCATTATGTGTTAGCTTGACATACCATATTGGGAGGCATATAGGTTTCACTTAAGGGGAAATTTACTGAGTTTTAAGAGTTGGGGATGGGAAGAGCCCTGCAATGTATACCTGAAGAAGGCCTACCATACGGAGAATTAGAATGGAAAGGAGTCTTACAAGAAGAAAGAATCGCAGAATGTTAAGATAGAATGGACCTTCCCCCCATTTCTTTTATCCAATGAGAATAAATGGTCCATATTACTCAAAGGCAGAAAAGTTGGGCTTTGGGTGGTCTCCAACTGGAGAAGTTTGTGACACCAAGTCTTTGTGACTCATAAGTGCATGGAACTCCTGATAGTAAATGGAAGGATGGGAGGAGTTCCTCAGGGTTCTTGATGTCTGTAGTGGTACCACCACCATGCACCCAGTCATACAAGTTGAAAACAGTCTAGTTTCTCCTCTTTTTCCACCACCCCTCTTCCTCAGTGGTTACCAAGCCCTGTGGATTCTATCTTCTAAATACTTGTCTCCCCTATTCCTCTCTATTGCAACTACTTTCCAAGGCAATGAAATTCTCAAGAGTTGTCATATTCTCTCCTAACCAGGCTCCCTGCTTGAAGCTCCACCCCACTCCCTTCAGCCCATCCACACAGCTGTCAGTCAATGCGTGTTTCAGAGTCCAACAAAGAGAAAGAAATTATATATTCATTTAATAAGGAAAAGTCCAATGTTTAACAATAATGGGATTGGAATGATGAACAATTGGCTAGTAAACTATAAGGAGAGATCTAAAATGCACAGGAGGACAGTGCCTGTGGCTCAAGGAATAGGGTGCCAGCCCCATATTCCTGAGATGGCAGGTTCACACCTGGCACTGGCCAAAAACTGCAAAAAATAAATAAATAATTAAAATGCACAGGAATCACAGATGAAAGGAGGAGCAAACACTACTCTTGAGATAGATTGCTCACAGAAGAGACCTCTTCCAATGGTTATTGCAGAGGGTATACAGCTCAGTGAAGGGCAGAAAAAAAATTTTTTTTAAAGCATTTTATTTTATTTATTTTTGCTGTTTTTGGCTGAGGCTGGGTTTGAACTTGCCACCTCTGGCATATGGGATCAGCACCTTACCCTTTTGAGCCACAGGCACCGCCTAGGGCAGAAAAATTGCTCAAGTTCCAGGCAGGCAGAATTCACTCTTTGGGGTTCCAGAGAAGCCATTCACAAGAAGGTAACTTCCTGGTTGTACTCTGCTTGCTACAAAGCCTCCCAAGAGAGATACCAGGGGAAGCTGCTAGCCCCTGGGCACTAATGGCTCCTAGGTACTGTACTAGTTGGGCACTCAAGGAATCATATACTGAATGAACCAGATACAGAGAAGCTGTGCAATGCAGGGTTCCAGCAGTGAAGAAACTGCAAGTCCCTGGAGCTGAGCAGCAAGAGCATACTCAGGAGAAAGCCCTTCCTCCTCCGGGGTCCCTTCAGTGTCCTGTACTGACATTGCTTATCATTATGACAGCCAAAAAGGAAAAATATGGAAAGGACCTAGTTGCATTTTGCTGAGGAGGCAATGCTGGGTAAATTTGGAGCTGAGAGATAATAATTGATAACTGGCACACCAAGCTAACACCAAAACTGGACTGTGTGAGTCTAGGGCTTAAATTTTCTCGTGGCTCCCTATCTCCTTCAGGAAAAGTTCATAAAGCTCATAAAGTTCAAAATCTGAGACCTTTTATATTCTGGTGTTGGAATATATTTCCAGCCTTAAGCCCAACCACTCTCTCTGTGTCCTTTCTAGCACTCTGCAATTACTCACAGTTTGCTGAACTCACCATATTTCTCATACCACCACACTTTTGTCCTAGTCCTCCTTGCCACACGGAATTCCCTCCTTACTTTCATCAGTGGCATTTGCCTATTGAGAACCCACCCTGTGCCTGGCACTGTTCCAGAGGCTGGGAATACAACAATGAGCAAACAGGCTTCCCCAGGTTTCAATTCAATTATCATCACTCTTTGAAAAGTACTTTATGATCTCTAAATATGTTAGATGGACCATCTAGAAATTTATCTTCTGTTCTCCCTTATCTAGTGCAGACTCCTTGACATTTATGTACATTATTTTTTAATCACTGTTTTTCCTATCAATTTCTTCCACTAGATAGGATATAGGACTTACTTCTGTATCCTCATATTTAGCACAATTCCAGTAAGACATGTAAGGTTTTATAGGATTAATGATTTACCCAGGATCACATAATTAATCAAAGATAGGTCCAGGACTGGAATCCTGGACTCCTGCTTCATGGTCAAGCTCTCATTCACCAGAGCTCTGGGTGTTATGCCAAGACTAGCTCTGTGTTTTGTGTTGGAAAAGACCAATGTGATGCCCGATATCTTCAGAAATGATCATGGAAACTGGAGAAAAACATGGCCCTGATCTGATCATGAAAACTCCTCAGAGCTGTTGTTTATATATTTTGAGCCCTTGAATCATAGGAATGCTTTAATGAAATCAGAAGTAGGGAGGACAAGGAAAAGATGAAAATGGTGTGGGGTATTTCAACCCTTCACTCTTAAAAGATGAAGACTTTCATACACTTATAAAACACAAGGCTAAGGTGGCCCTGAGTGTCTATGCCAGACCCCCAAATCAGGGGACCATATAGCTCAACATTAGGGAACACAGATAACATGGCATTTTGTAAATGAACCGGGTGTCCCTTGGATTGTGAATCATGATGTGAACTTATGGAAAATCTTTGAAGTTTGAGCATGGCTAAGTGAAGTCAAAAGAAGTATCTGTTCATTTGTTAAATCATAAACACACAGAACTCAGGACTAACAAGAACTGACACCAGTATGATACATAAGCAAGTTTGGGAAATTTGCTAATAACAGAGCCAAAAACTCAAACAAAGGACAAGGTCAAGTAGGACTGCTCTTAGCAATATTGCTGTTGGCATCCAAATGCTGTGGTTGGCTTGACCATGGATTTGGCACAGGACAGAAAAAGATACAGACTTCTGTGGAATAAAGTGGAGAAACAAAGCTAATATGAATAAGACAAATTGTAGCGATCTTGAAAGTCAGAGTATCATTTTGATGAGAAAAGAAATGAAAATTCACTAGAGGCTTTTAGAGTGATATGGTAGCATGAGTGGTTAAGAAATTTTATCTGACAAAATTAAGTCTCAATTTAAACCTGGCACTGGAAAAAATGATTATACTATTAGAATCTATCCACCTATAAGGTTGTTGTAACGGTTAAATGAGGTAAAGAATGTGCAATGACTGCTCTTATACCTATCTTATGCTGGGTATTCTTCCATTTTTAGCAACTATAGAGGATATGGTTAAAGTGACAGTGACCATATTTTCAGGCTAAAAAGTTAGGACATATTCCGACAAATAATTGTTATTCCATTTTCATGATGCAAATGGGAATATCCAGAAAACTTCAATGATTTATGGGGCTAGTGGGATTTGTTTGGAATTGGGCTTGTCCTAGAGAAAATCCTTACTGTGTAGATGTTTTATTCAGAAAGAGGTAGTATGGTATAAAATGAAAAAAGCAGCGAAATAGATCTATGTTCTTGATGTAGCTCCAACATAAACTGTTACCTTGTGCTAATCACTTGACCTCTTTATATCTCAAATCTCTTTATAAATCGATGATCTAAATTCTGAGTCAACTTAAGCCACTAATTTTTCTTTGGTTTGGTTTTTTGAAAAGGAGGTGTTCCTTTTTATTTTCCTAACTGAAAAATTTATTTTAAAAAGTCCAACAGGGACTGATGTGGGGAATAAAAGAAAAGAATGAATCAAAAACAGCCATGATGTGTCCGATAAGGCAACTGCAGAATAAAAGAAATCTGTTTTGGATACTTTCATGGGAAGGAGGAACTCTACAGAAGGCAGGTCTGGAGAGGAAAGGGAGTCAGTCCTTCTTTGAACCTGAGAAGTCTGACAATGAAAAAGATAATGAGATCACTGAAAAGTTAGTAAAATCAAAAAATAATTTTTTTTATTATCCCTATTTTATAGGTAACAAAAAATAAATCTTAAAAGGAAGTGCCTATTTGATAGAAGAGAAGGTGTTAGGAAGGTGGCAAGGATGG